GAATCTGACTTGCGTACCCTAAAGCTTTGGGAACACTGGCCTAGCAGTTGATTCCAAGGAGAAGAAACTCAAGAGTCCAGAAGCTGAGGCTGTTGGGCCAGACAGCAGGACAAGAGTGGGAGCCATGCTGGAAGCAAGCTACGCTTTCACTGGCGGAAGGAGAGGGTCAAATGAGTAAGAAAGCGAGTCTGTGGCTGGAGCTAGCTGTGAGGCCAGGCAGTCCTCCATTTGGCATGGCAAGGATCTGTGAGTTTCCACAAGTCCAGTAGAGACCAAGGAAAGTAATTATGTTGGAGGAACCACCTTGATGTGACTTTTCCCAAAAAAGGACAGATATCCAGGGCAAGAGGACTCCAATAATGCCAGCAGTGGGAGGGTGTGGGAGGCACTTTCAGGGGTAGGAGCTGGGGTCGTGACTCAAGAGTCCAGGAGAATAAAATATAAAATACCTAGACATGGGGTTCCTGGGTGGCTCAGTGGTTGAGCATCCCCCTTCAGCTCAGGTCGTGACCCCACGGCTCCCACAGGGAGTCTGCTTCTCCCTCTGCCTATGTCTCTGCCTCTCTCTGTGTCTCTCATGAATAAATAAATAAAATCTAAAAAAAATACCTAGACATAATAAAAATAAGCATATGCTACCTTGTAAGTTGAAAACTAGAATATTCTGAGAGGGACATACACAAAAAAATGAAATGGAGATGCATCCTGTATTGTGGGATGGGAGCACTCTTTGTTTAACACATCCTCCACCCCCACCCCAAAATGTTAAGATCTGAGGGAGAGACTGATCAAATAATTCTTTAGCTTATGTACAATAAATAAGTATCCATGAATAAGTATATAATAAAAGCTGAGAATAATCAAAATTAACAGAAAGAGTGGTAACTTACTTTTACTTGTTAGGAAAAACCCTATTTTAAAGTTACAGCAGGTGGTATTGGCACAGAAATAGATCAGTAGAACAAAGGCGAATGTTCAGAAATAGACTTTGGTATATGATTCAGTATATAATTCAAATCACAGGGGGGAAAAGTCAATGAATATTAATAGGAAAACTGGCTAACCGATTTAGCAACTTACAAAAAAAAAATCCCTGAACCTCACACCTTATACTAAAATAAATTTCAGATGGATTAAAGATTCGAATGTTTTTTAAAATTGCTGAATTATGTTACCTTGAGGTTGGAAGGTCCCTCTAAGCATGGCACTAAAGGCAAAATATATACGGAAAAGATGGATAAATTTGACTATATAAAGTTTTTCTGTGGCAATGTATGACACAAACAAGGTCAAAAGGGAAATGATAAACTGGAAAATTTGTTTACAAAATATGCCACAGCTAGGAAAAAAATTACTATGAAACAAAGAGCTTTTCATATTTATAAAAGACAAGCCAAGTACTGAGAAAAAAGGCAATTTGCCAAGACAGAATTACAAATGGTCAATCCACGTGCAAAAATAGAGATATGCAGATAAAACACTGAATCCTCATTTTCACCCATCAGATTAGTCAAGATGAAACACGGCAACAGTGCCCAGTGGTGCTGAGGCTTTCCGCTGGGGAGAGTGTAAACTGGTGTAAACCTCCTGTTGAGGTTCCTCTGACGATAGGTAGTAAACACAAAATGTATATAATTTTCAATTTCACTCCTAGGAATTTAGTCTAAATGACAATTACATACAATTACACAAATTACATAAGGATAGTAAACATCTGGAAATATTCTAAATGTGCAATGCCCAGAAGAGTACTGGTTAAAAAAAATCTATGGCACAAACTTGTAATTTCGTCATTACTGACATAAAAAAAAAATGTGCCCAGGAAGGAAAGAAACAATCATTTACAAAATGACATGTGTAGTTTGACCCCCTTTTGGTAACCGAGTGGTGCCCAAAAAGTATGGGTATGGATACAGGTGCATGCAAACGCATCACCAAAATGATTCATTCATTCTCTTCCTCTCTCTCCGACAATGAGCACACTGCTTTTTTAATTGACTTGCTTCAATGAATCACCCGCCCACGAACCTGGGTACAAAAAAAGCCACACCCCCTCTCCTTTCCCAAATCCTGCACTTCAGTTCAGCGACAATGGTCGTGGTAGGCAAAAGGCCCCTAGAACACTATTTGATTGACTACTGCTACTAATTCTGGTTTTCTCCTAGATGAAAAGAATGGAAAAATAGAAGGCTTAGAAAATCCGAATGTGGGACATCTGGGTGGCTCAGCAGTTGAGCATCTGCCTTTGGCTCAGGGCGTGATCCTGGGATCCGGGATCGAGTCCTGCATCAGGCTCCCTGCATGGAGCCTGCTTCTCCCTCCCTCTGCCTGTGTCTCTGCCTCTCTCTGTATCTCTCATGGATAAATAAATAAATATTTAAAAAGAAAAAAAGAAAATCCGAATGTGAGGTCAGCAATAAAAAGAGGGGCACTGAGGATTCTTTTTTACTTCCTTTAAAATCAATTTAAACATTAACTTGATCCCAAGCTAATGTGGAACTTCAGGATAGTCACTTTTGCTCTGGTTTTGGTTAAGTGCCCGGCTACAATTTCAGGTCTTGAGTCAGAGACCGACTATTACCTATTTCCCCTAATTAACCTCTGTCTGTTTGGTGGTTTGTGTCTCCTTCTAAAAGTGATGGGGGCGGGGTGAGTGGGGAGATACCTTATAGTGAAAAGATAGATATAAAAAGGCCTGTGCTATAGTAGCTAAGTTATAGTTAGTAGTTAAGGTTAAAAAATATATATATATATATTTGGAAATGCAAAGACCTGACTCTCCCCAAAACCAAAAGAGCTGTTGTCCAAAGGTTAGCTCAAGGCCTGTCCAATCCCAGGAATGGACTAGACTGCAGCGAGAAGGCTCAGCCCCGCAGTTCAGGTCACACAGCTGTCTGAACCCATTTCTCCATTCTAAAGTGGAAAAAAATGGTAACCCCTGACCTTCCCACCATACACAAGTATTGTGAGGATGGAATGGAAGAATGTGTATAAACAAAAACTCCAGTGGAGATAAATCAAAACTACAGGAGCGCGCGTGGACACACACACACACACACACACACTCACACACACACACACACTCAACCAGAACTCTGCTCCATAGCTGGGCAAGCCCAATTTTGATTCCTTATCTAGAAGGGGACTCACAACTGGGTCGCAGTGCTCACCTCTACACACTGTCTCCAAGACAGTTAATAAGAGAAAGATCCTTCCTCCATCCCCAGCCTGGACCCAGATTTCTTTAGTGACACTCAGACCCAACTCTGAGTCTGCCTGACTGGTCCTTGGACAGCCAGACCCTGCGTCCCCCCGGAAGGCCCACTACCAGCCTCCTGAGATGCCCTCCCCACCTTAACCAGAGTCTGCTTGGGACACAAAGAACAGTAAGGTGGCAAAGCTACTAGGCGAACTTAGAGAACTTCTAGCTGCCCTCATGCTTATCAGAAAATGATGAGAGCCGCAGGGAGATGGTACATCCTTTCCGCCAATGCTCAGCGCCTGCTTCTGTTAATACTCCCGAGCAACTCTGGACTATTGTCTGGAACATTTAGAGGCAGGGAAAAAGTCCATGGGTGTTTTTTGGTTATTTTATTCTTCTTTCATAAACTGTTTTACACTTCTGCACTGTACCCAGAAGTACATTTTACCTAATATTTTACTTAAAACTTAGTCAGTTGTTTTAACCAGAAACTTCTGATACTAAGCAAGTGGGATTTCTTCCTTTGAGTGACAGTTTTTGCCGGGCTCCCCTGTGGACCACAGTCACTTCTTTGGCAGCTCGGTCTGGAGCTGGAAATTAAGGGGGCTGCAGAAACATCTTGTGTTTACAGAACCAGGAAAATAAGAATAATAATGGGAGTTCAGATTCTCTCATTGGATAGAGGAGGCTTTCGGGAAATCCTTGCTCATCAGGGACCTTACCCTACACTAACCACGGTAATTTGTAATGATGCCAAATGTCATTCAAAGTCTGTGAAACAGTTTGAATAGTTGCACGTAAAAATTAAAAGTGGAAAACTATTTGTATTAGTCTTTCGACAGCTCTTCTCTGTCAGCCACCTCAGATGAGAGCCCGAAAGATTCTAAATGCTGATCCTAGGTTGTAGTCCAAGGTAGTACCTCAGAGGACAAAGGACAATTATTCCTAATACTGCCTAGTGCTGACAGGACCAGGGCCGGCAGCTGTCACTGACACCGAGTGGCAGGACATCACTTCCCTCTCTCTCACTCTTCCCAGTTGAGGGGATAGACTTTGAGCCTGGTCTCCCAGGGCAAGGCAGCCTCATAGTTCCCACCAGTTTCCATCGTTCCTCTCCTTTCCACATCTGCCCATAAGCCCAGATCACTCGGATGTGACACCCAGGAATTTAGGGGAGAGAGGACACACCAGCCCAACCCGTCAGGAACATCACCCCTTTCCCTTGGGACCGCAACCCTACATAATTCCAGAGCCACGTTCACATATACTGGGCCCCAAGGCTGTAAAATATAACTGTGCCCCATTCTCCTCCCCCGTGCTTTTCATTCTCCAGGCCTAGAAAAAGAGGGAAGGGAGGAGAATACCATTGTCACTTAGGAAAGCCACATGCCTCTGCTCCATTCGTTTTTTACTGGGCCTTGGAGTTATGCCATCAGGGAAGAAAGGTAAAGAACACTGACTGAGGCTTTAAAAATCGAATCTAATTCACTCCATCTGTAAATTGAGCAAGTTGACAGCGGCCCCAGGGCTCCTTACATCTAACATGTCATGGTTCCTGAAAAAGTAACAGTCATCATTACTGCGGTTGTAGGTAAAGGGGGAGATCAGGTCACTCACATTCTTCCCCCTTCCCTGTAAACACACAGACTCTGGCCTTGGGCTTGACGGTGTTTCAATCCACCGTTACATGAACATCCCATCTAAAGGGAAGACATGGGGCGTTTTTAAGAGAGGGTTATAAAAAAAAGTTAGCCAAGACTGCTATAAATGGTGGTGTGGAAGAGAGAAACCACCTAAATTAACAGAAAATTTTTATTGGAATGAAAACTTACGGCTTTTGAATACCTGTCAGACCAAAGGATCCGTATCAAAGCCATGCTGCCTAAGAGGCATTGCAGGGAACTTACCGGAGTGGCCAGCTTAGCATACTATCTGTTAGGATGTCAATTAATTGTAGGAAAGGGGTTGCTTCTAAAACGTTGGGCAAGTTGCCTACGTCAATGATCTCTATCCTTTTCAATGACCTCCTTTCTAAAGACAAATTCTAGCTCAAACTTAAGTCCATTTCATTGCTCATCGTAAAAGGATGGATTCCAAATTAGTTCAGAGATGCTGTAAAGGAAGTTGCAGAGACTCTCTTGCACTCAAAAGTCCAGAAGAGCAGACAATCAGGACCAACTCAGAGGAAGACAAAGCTCCCGCCCATATGATCCGTAGCCTGGGGTCAATGTTACGTTGTGTCTCAAGGGTCCCAAGTTCAGACACAGACACAGAACTTCTTGTGTAGCAGGCAGAGAAGATGTCAGCGATTCCAGAGTTTCCTCCTCTTGAGAAGGGTGGTTCCACAGGGATAGTCAGCATCTTGAATCCAGAACTGGAGCCAGGCTGGGAATGGAAAAAGTTGCAGACCCACGCACACCTGGATGGAAGCCACGTGGGGCCTCTGTGTAGGCGGGCACCTGAGAAGCTGTCATAACATCTGCCCCAGCAGCAGCGCATCCTGCTCACGTAGCGCCCATCTGTGATCTAGACGTGGGGGAGGAAAAGAGATCATTGACACACTTTGGTTTTGCCTTGGGGCTTCTGTACGTGCAGCTCACGTAACTTCATGGGAAACAGTGTGGGCCACCAGGGCAGCTATTATTGATCCTGCTTGTTTTCTGCACCAGAAGGGCACCCCCCCCCCTGCCCTGAGGTGTACAGCTGCCCAGGCCTTTCACCTGCTGAGGGCTGGGCCCAGGACCACCTCCCCTCACCTCCCCCTTGACCCTCCTCAATCCCAGCTGTTCTTCAGGACTCTAACCCCATCCTTCCGCCGTTCCACTCATTTCTCAAAAATGTCAGTCTCACATACCACACGGCTGAGAAGGAGAGGAATGCGAGAATAATCACAACAGCCATGGATCCCAGCCCGACGCCCACCATCTGCTGCAGCAAGAATGACGAGTCTGCGGGACAAAACCACACACTGAGGCCACGGCACGCAATCACAGCACACGTGCACCTGTGCTCACTCCGTTTTAACCCAAGGCTTGGCCCCATTTCACAAACCATCCCAAGAATGCCCAGAGTGCCTCTGTGTCCTCCGAGTCGGCCCCGAGGGCGCAGGGCGTAAGGAAAGCACAGTCCCAGGTATTTCTGAAAAGGAAATGGAAAACCAGGCCACACTCAAGTTACAAGGGATAAAACAGCTCATCTTCTTGTGCATTTAAGTACAGCAGACTGTGCTGCTTGTACTGGTCCTCTCCCAGTTAACTGCTCCTCAAAGTGTTTATGGGAAGCTTTCTTTTGCATTGAGGAAGAACTCCTGACAACATTTGGATTTTTGCTCTGAAAATGATTAGGGAGCGCCAGTGGTCAAACACAGCAAACAGATCCTCTCTGACGGATAGGATATGTCATTTTCCCGACACACCAACAAGGAGGGGACCTCCCTGCTCCGCTTGGCAGGTTGCCATGAGGATGAAGTAAGAAAACTGATGGAGAAGCTCTCTAAAATATATGTGTTCTAATTTGGGGTGTATCATAGGCCAACCCCAGGGAGATCCTTTGTTATAAACCAAAAGACACCCACACTTGAGTTGCTATAAACCAAAAAACAGCCAAGTGACTGAATCAGAGCATCATGTTCTCTACCAAAGGTCTCGTTTTAATTTGCAATCAACTTATTTAGCACTTACAATATGCCAAACTCTGTTCTCATGACTTCTCCTAGCCACCTAGTGAGTACTATAAGACTAGAACCAGGTATTACAATCATAGTGCCCAGCGTAATAACAATACCCTGAGTGCTGTTATTATTCCCATTTTACAGATGAGGGACCGAGGCATGGAGTGGTTCAGCAACTTATCCAAGGTCACAAGCTGAGAACCAAGAGAGTCAGGATCCACCGTGTTGTCTGGTTCCAGCATCTTTGCTTTTAACCACAACACCATGCTTTCCCAGGGCAGATCTGAGCCCAGTTCTGTCTCCAGCAGAGCAGGTCATCAGAAGTTAGGGGGGCAGGCCCTGCCCTTTCCTGCATAGGCTGATGATGATGGAGCTCGGACCGTAGCTATTCAAGCTCCTCTTTAAAAGAACAAAAGTCTGTGTGCAATGGTGCCATCAGACCCTGCAAAGACCGTGGGGGCTGATGCTGCACGTATAGAATTAAAAACAAAAACAAAACACCGCCAAGCCATGGAAGAATGGTAAGGAAGTGCAACGAAGTCCAAATTTTGCCAGATGATTTGTTGTGATTGTCACTGTCGGAATATGAAATCATTTTATTTTTCGGTGCCCCCCTTTTACTGATGCCCCAGGCACACGTTAGTCTGCCCTCTGGGCCATCCAGTACTGCCCGGGAAGAGCTGAAACAGTAAACGAGCAAAGATCTGTTAGGTAAGGAGGAGGGGCTTGAGAGAAAAAATAGTAGCCCCTGGGCTTGAGAGCCTTGAAACACAGTTGACTCTCATCCCTGGCTGCCCAGGTACATCTGAGAAGGGGACGGGCAGGGGAGCCTGCTGCTACCTAAGTCTTTCATCACCCAATCTGCACTAACACAGTAGCCACTAGCCACAGTGTGGCTGTTAAATCTAAATCAGTTCCAGTTAGGGTGCCTGCGTGGCTCAGTGGTTGAGCGTCTGTCTTCAGCTCAGGGTGTGATCCTGGGGTCCTAGGATCAAGTCCCACATGGGGCTCCCTGTGAGGAGCCTGCTTCTCCCTCTGCCTGTGTCTCTGTGTGTCTCTCATGAATAAATAAGTGGAATCTTTTTTTAAAAAATTAAAAATAAATCAGTTCCAATTAAATTAAAAATTCAGTTTCTCAATCATACCAGTTCAAGTGCTCGATTTCAAGTCCACATTTCAAATGCCCAGTAGCCACATGTGGCTTGTTGCTACCATTCTGGACAACATGGCTTTAAAATCTTTCCATCGTTGCAGAAAGTTGTATTGATTGGCACTGCTCCATCTCCACGACGGGGGTAAGAGCAGTTTGGTTCTATTCTCTAACAGGGTAGCTGGCACCAGCAAAAGCAGCCATGGAACACAGTTCTTGCTAAAAACCTCTGCAAAACCCATTACTTCAGAAAGTGTTGTCAAGAGACTTTCTAGAAAAAACATGGCTTGTATTGTTTGGCTACCTTTAGTAACCAGAAGAAAGAAGCCACACTACAAGATGGAAGGAGGAGCTGTGGGTAAACTAGAAATTAGCAGAGAAAAAAATTAAAGGAGTGACTTAAATTACTGCATAATAAAACAGTGCAGAATCAGCACAGGGATGAATACATGGGAACAAAATAGCATAGGAACAAACCCATGTATATCAAATAACTTCCAAGCTTAAATATTGAAGTCAGGTGGTCCAAGTCTGTATTTGAACACCCTGACTGTGGACTCTGGACAAGTGATTCAGCCATTCTGTGCCTCAGTTTCCTCATTGAGGACTGATTTAGCAACATGGGAATGATAATAATAGTCCCCACTTTATAGGGTTATTGTGAGAAATAAATGAGGTAAGTTGTGTCAGGACTGTGCCCAGGACATAGCAGGCAGCTGGCAAGTGCTGGCTATGTATTATTGTTGCTTTGCTACTGCTTCAAGTCATTAGGAGAAATGATATATTTTTCATAATTCATGTTGAGAAAACTGACCATTTAGAATAAAGTGATGTTGACCATTAGAGCTTAAACTGTATATGCCAAAATAAAATCCAGACAGATTAAATTGAAACCTAAAAGAATTAGATCAAAGGGTAAGTGAATACTTATCTAAAATATTTATCTCAAACAGGTAAGAACTGCCTTAAGCATATTTATTAATGCAGAAACCATGATGCTCACCGCTGAGATCTGCTGCTGCTTCTACCACAGAGCCACCTCTTAAAAGATCTTGCCAGGCCTTGACCTCAAGTTACCCTCAACTACGCTTTGCAAACTCTATCTTCCTCACCCAAAGTTCCATGTTCTTTGCTCCTCTCTGGCCTACTTAGGTTTGCTCTTCAAGATTTCTTAAAGATCAGCTGCTGTGGTTCACCATCTCATTTGCAAATTGTATGAAGCTGCTAGAATGTGCTGCATCTGGGTCAAAAGGCTTTAATTTATGTGAAGCAGTGAGCTCTTCTGTTGCTTTTAAATGTCCCCTCACAAACAGGACAGAGGCAAAGTAGGAGTTGATAGACTGGACTTTCTCTTGACCACCCACCAGCAGAACATCATTTACCCTAAGCAACAGGCCCACCCAGCTATTTCTTACTCAGGATGTAAATATTGGAAAATTATCTTTTTTTTTTTAATTATTCTGCAAAACATGACTTGGGGTTTGGCCCCAGGCATGGTTCTTGCTGGTACATGTCTCTTGGTCTACCTTGTGTATGTGTGAAAATCTGAGTCCGTCCAACCCAGAGCACTCACAGTGTAGCCGCACAAGATTTCTGTAGGGACTTTCCCAATTAATTCCTCGCTGAGAAAATTTACACCTGGCTAATCCGAATTACATTTTTTAGAGCCTTGCCGTCTTCTGGTTTCCCTCCCTTTCACGGTTTTATGCTATAAAATCATGCTTCCTTTTCCTCCGAATTACTTGTAGAATATTCTTTCGGAGACTGGAGTGAATCATGCGTTATAGCACAGATTTGCAGTGACTCATTCTTGGAGAGAGTAAAACCATTAGGTTAAAATACTGTCATTCTCTTCAGGGTGGCTCCCTGAGGAGGTAGAGTGCTCAGGAGGCGTGACAGGGCTTCTCTGGGTGTTTCTTTTAACTCTTCCACTAATGCAAATATCACAGGTGCTGAAGAACAAGTTAGAAAGACTCTATGCCTACTCTCAAGCTCTGTAACAGCTTGAGGACTTCCTGTGGCTGTGGACATTTTTTCATGAATTTACACGAGCAGGGGCACTTCCTGAAAGCAACAAGTCCACTCTCCAAAAGGTACACAAAATTACCACTGTGACTTCTACTTAGTGTGTTAAACTCCTCTCTGCTATTTTAGGGTCTCCTTATTTGAATCCCATGCAGAGGACAAAGGAGATCAAAGTAGATTAATTTAGAGATAAGTATCACCTGATGAATCGGCAACATTTTTGAACTCATTTTCTATTGCAGCTTAACAAATCACCATAAACTTAGCAGCCAGCCCCCATTCATAGCTCGCGGTTCTGGGAACCAGAAGTTCAGGTGCATTGTGACTGGGTCCTCTGCTCAGTGTCTTCTAAGGCTGATATCAATGTGTCAGGTGGGCTGTATTTCCCTCTGGAGCCTCTGGAGAAGAATCTGCTTCCAAGTTCATAGCAGTTGTAGGACTAAGGTTCCCATATACTTACTGGCTATCAGCCACTGGCCACCCACATTGCTGCCATGTGGTTCCTTCCATCTCCAAAGGCAGCAGGAGAAACCCTGATTGATGTCAGATCCATCTCTCCCTTTGAATCTCCAATCTCCCATTCTGACTTCTAGATCCAGATTTAAAGGGTTCATGTGAAGGTCAGGTGCATCTGGATAATCTCCCTATTCGGGACCTTAATTACATCTTCAAATCCTTCTCAGCAACACTCAGAATAGCCTTTGATTGAGTAACTGAGAGATGGTGCGTGTACACCAGGAATCTGTGAGGCTGTATAATAACTCTGCCAACCACAGTGAGGAAGGTGGAAGGTATGCCTGTGTGTGTTTGTGTGTGTGTATACATACATGTGCACAGCATATACAAACACATATGTACACACTAGGCTTATATATTGATGTAAATCTTCTCTGGCTTAAGTATTGTACCTAATGTGCTATGCTTTTCATCAGGCTCTACTGCTGGTTGACCGTAATCATCTAACCCAATTCACTAAATTCTGATGAGGCACCAATGTGTACCAGGCACTGCTCCAGTTCTTCAAATGCTCTTCCCCAGGGGTATGAAATCTAGTAAGAAAAGACAAATGCACCGGTTGCTCTAAAGTGTGGCAGATATCTTTAAAAGGGGGGTGGGGAATCCCTGGGTGGCAGTTTAGTGCCTGCCTTCAGCCCAGGGCATGATCCTGGAGTCTCAGGATCGAGTCCCACATTGGGCTCCCTGCATGGAGCCTGCTTCTCCCTCTGCCTGTGTCTCTGCCTGTGTCTCTGCCTGTGTCTCTGCCTGTGTGTGTGTGTGTGTCTCATGAATAAATAAATGAAATCTTAAAAAAAAATAAAGTGTGGCAGAAAGCCTATGTGGAGGGAGTGGGGAGGGAGCAAGGGGGATGGGGAGAGAGGGAGATGGGGGGGGGGAGAGAGGTAGGTCCTACCCCATTGAGGAAATAAAGCTTCAGGAAGGACATAGCATTTGATTGTAATCTTGACGAACAGATGGGATTGTAGTAAACTAATAAACAGAGATTACAGGAAGGTTATAGGGCAATCCAGGTGGAAATAAGCAAGTAATCGTATGAGCAAAGACATTAAGGAAAGTAGGCAAGGGCCATAGCCAGAAAAGAGCTAGTACATCACTTCAAACGGAGAAGGAGAGAGGTCACTAGAAGGGTATGCCACAGTCAAACTGAAGTCTTGGAAATCAGTCTAAAACATAATAGAGAACTCTGGAAGGGGAAATAGTCAAATCGGCACCGCAGTTTAGAAATATGAGTCAGGCGTGTAGGCTGGAGTGAAGAAGGAACCCCTGAACACCATGGTGGGGGAGGAAAAAAAGAGGCTTTGCCAATTGTCTATGCTGCAGATATAAAGGCCTATGCTGGGGGAATAGGGGGTGTGGTGAACCCAGACATGAGATGGGCATACCCTATGTATAAAATGTGGGCTGAAAGGCAAAGGGGAGTGGTCACTAACGACTCAGGGGTTACTCCTATCACTCAAGAATGTTCTATGAATACCGTTTGTGAACATCTCACATATATCAGATGACTTGTTTTGTGACTCAAGAAATCAAAGAGTCAGTACTTTGTGGCTGGAAGGGATCTGAGAGATCTCGGTAAGAGGAAATTGAGAACCAGCCAAGTTAAATATAATTTCAAAGACACTCGGCTGATGAGTAGCAAGGCTCAAGCAAGGAAGCCCAGGCCTCTGCATTTCCCCCTCAAACCAACTGCTGGTTCCCTGGTAATCATCACAAAACTCTTTTAGGGGTGATCTGCATAAGGTAAATAGCATACTTTGTCACCGGGCAAAGGTCAGAATGGGGCTATTGATTGGCACAGATGAACTAGAACAAGTTCAGGACTAATCTGGATCCTAGCTCTCTCCAAATTACTTTCTGAGATGGCAGTCGTCCACATTTTTGCAAAAGGAGACTATCAGAGGTACTTTACACAGGTCAAGTTTATACACAGATTCAGAATTCCCTTCAGCATTTCAATGTAACAGTGGGTTCTTCTATTATCACTAGAGCCTTCTAATAGTTTTATTTTCAAGGTTTGAACTCTCTTTCAACACTGGTTCTTAAGTTGAGGGGGGTAAAAAAGGTACTACCAAACCACTTAGATATTTCCAAAGCGAAATCCTTCCTGTGAGCTTAATCACAGTAGAATGACTGTAGCCAGCTCCTTGGCCATTTCTGCCACCCAGTTTGAATGTCTGCTAACCATATCAAACAGCTGCTGAAGGCTGTGGATTCTGGGAGCTTCTGTGCTTGTCCAGGATGATTGCACATCTCCATTCTTTTGATAAAGCACCTATTTTCTTTGTGTGAACTGCATTCGCACCCCCAGAGCCTCAGGGAATGGACTGGCTGAAAAACTTCCATTTGTTGGAGCATGTGGTTGTTTCTTGTGGCCTTCACTGAAATTCTAGGACAGGAAGCTTAGCCTATCTACACACATTAGTGTAACAGCACCCATCTCTGTGAAGGGAGACTCACTAATTATGCTAAGTAAAATAAGTCAGAGACAAATACTATATGATCCCATTTATATGTGGAATCTACAAAGGCTAAACTCATTGAAATAGAAGACTGGTAGTTGCCAGAGTCTGAGGTTGGGGGATAGGGAGAAATGGGGAGGTGTTGGCCAAAGGGCACAAACTTCCAGCTATAAAATGAGTAAGTACCGGGCACCTAATAATGTACAACATGGTAACTATAATTAATACTGCATTATATGCTTGAAAGTTGCTAGGAGAGTAAATCTTAAATGTTCACACATACACGAATATATACACATGGTAATTATGTGGGCAATGGGGCTGGTAACCCTATTTTGGTAATCATTTTGCAATAGAGATCCAATCATCACATTGTACACCTTAAACTCAATGCTGCATAAATTATATCTCAAGAAAGTGGAGGGGTGTGGGGGAGACCCTTGCTGCCTGGCAAACACAATCCAAGATGGCAGATGGTCAGGTAATGTGCTTTTGCCCAGGAGAAAGGCCATGTCCTCTTGCTCTCGTTGAAGTAGGTGTGAATAGAGATTTAAAAAGATGGGAAATAACATTAGAAGATAAGCAGACAAATGAAGGAAGCCTAATTCTCCAGGTCCCTCCCAATCATTTCCTGTTAAGCACCTTCTACTGACAAGGTACCAGATCCCCCATTGTAAAGTGCCCCTAGCTGGAATCCTTCTGGAAGCAGGGTTATACAGGCACTTCCTCACCACCCCAGCCTATTGTTTCACGCTGCTCTGAGGTAAGGGGCAGGATGTAAGGGGTTAAACTGATACTCCAAGCTAAGAGCAAAATTCCTCAGGCTGTTGCTAGGACTCCTAGACCACAAAGAAAAGGTCCAGATTCAAAGGTCATAAACTTGACAAGGTTTCTGGTATTAGCTACAAACTAATGGAATTCCTGGGAATCAAATCCACTGGCTGGCTGCCCGTTGGTTTAAAGAGATGTACTGCCAGGGAAATCCCACGTCTGGCAAACACCGAGCTGCGATTGCTCAATCCCCGAGGCCAGTCTCCCACCTGGACGGCTGCCCGCGCGAGGAAGGCATGTGAAGCTATACAGCCCTCGGTAGAGCTCCTTCCTGCTGCATCTTATGTACAAGCAGCTCTGGAGGAAACGGACGAGGGTACTTTCCCATCAGGCAGAGCCAGGAAAAGACTGAGGCGGCCCAACTAAGTGACCATGTGACCCCCTCTGCTGCCAGGCCAAGGGAAGCTTGCTTTTCCCATCCAGCAGGATGTGGTCATTGTCATGGGCCCCCTGTCCATGGCACAGCACTTTATCTTTTCTTCCTTTCTAAATGAAAGTGCTTACTGAGCTTACCCAGGCTCCCCTTTCATGCTAAATGCTGTGGTTTGAAGGTGCTTACTTACATTCTGCATCCAGTCACAGACTGCTAAGGGACCATGAGAAGTCCACCTGGATTTGATCAAGAGGCATGGACTGTCCCCAGGGAGCCCGGTCTTGGAGCTGGATGCAATAACAGACCCACCCTCGAGCTGTCTTCCACTCGAGCTCCACTTTTGGCTGTATAGAGTATTATTCTTCCACAATGGAGGGTGTTTTTCTTAAAAGTACACATGGGGCGCCTGAGTGGTGCAGTAGGTTGGGCATCTGACTCTTGGTTTCGGCTGGGGTCGTGATCTTGGGGTCAGGGGATCGAGCCCCACTTCAGGCTCTCAGCTCGGTGTGGAGTCTGCTTAGGACTCTCTCTCCCTCTGCGTCGCCCCCCACACTCTCTCTTGCTCTCTTCCCTCTCCCTAAAATAAATAAATAAAATCTTTTTTAAAAAAAAAGTGTACATGTATGTGTGTGTACATGCAAAGCAGCTAAATGGCCAAAATGCTGCAGCTCCTTGTACTGATCTGCCAACATGTTTTTCTGTGCCTCTTTTCCTGATGGGGATCAGGTCCGCCTCTCGGTACAATCCTGGTGTGGCTATCAATGACACTGATCTACCCCCAACCAGCCATATGAGTAAGCCCCAAATCCCAGGGCGGCTGTTCATAGCGCATAGTTCCCTAGGAGGGGCACTAGTCATCCCATAGCCAGTCCCTTAATCTAGGAGAAAAGATTCTTTCCCGGAACTGAAAAACCTTCTGTTCCCACTGAAGTTGCTAAACTGCACAGCTGGTGCCCAGCCCTGTCCATCACATGGCTTATTATAGAAGAAAATGAAGCCAACTCAGAAACAGAGAGCAGAGACAAAGACAGACTGTCCCTCTCATGGAGTCAAGTCCCAAGCGTCAGTTCCTGGAATCCTCATGATGCCCCTTTGGGTCGAGGTCCATAAGCTCCCCACCCCATCCTTTGCAGCTGTGGCTTTTTGCTTAAACTAGTATGAGATGGGTTTCTGTCCCCTGTGGCAATTTTAAAAGAAATCTCATCAATATAAACTTGATGCTGCAGACTGGAGTGGAAAAAGGAGGACCGGAAGCTTAGGCAGAAAATGGTTTTTACCTTTCACTTGAGCCCAAACTGCACAGGAGCATCTTCTCACCTATAAAGAGAAATGCAGCAACACATTTAATGAGGCAGTACATAACATCAATTTAAAGAATACATTTTGGCCCAAAAAGTTTAGTGGGTTTTTTTTCTTCTTAATCTGGATTAAAATATCCTCATCTAGCTTGAACATCTAATAATTTAGCCATATGATCACTAAGTATTTGAGGGACTGGCATGGAACCCTCGGGATCAGTTCTGTGGCTTCTCAATAGATCTCAAAAAGCACGCCCTATGGGTAAACAACAGAAATGGCAATGAGTTTCATTCTCCTTCCCAGCTCTGAGCAACTGGCACCAACTGCTGAAAAAGATTCTGAGGTCCCATCCATGTGACAGTGATAGGACAGTGACAGTGATACATGGGACAGGCAAGACTATGAGAACTCTTGGTAAGTAATAACACCTCACCGGTCTAGATGATACTTATCTGGCCAAGACCCACAAACACACTGGAATGAGAAACCTTCTCTTCTCTTCCAGTTATTACATGCATATTTGTCTGTTAGGAATACTGGGATTACTCAGCAAAATGTTCCCCAGAGGAAACTAAATAGCAGGGGTTAGAGAAAGATCCCTCCAACTTCAAAAGGAGATTCTCTTTCAAGTGACAAAATGGGCAGTCTGGTTTTATTGAAAAATTTATATATATATATATATATATATATATATATATATATATATATATATATTTGCACTGAAAAATGCTGGTGAATGCTTGAAATGGCCCTAAGTTCTTGAATGTGACTAAACTTTGCATTGATGCTAAGTGTATCAAGGGCATCGAGTGGAAAATCATATTCAAGAATAACCAGTGAAAGGGACCTCAAGTGGTAAGGCAGGTACTAGGGAATTGAGTGTATTAAAGGAGAGAAATGGGTGGGGCCAAGGGAAGAAGGGAGCTCATTAAAATAGAGTGTCATGGCCAGATTTACAATTTATAAACTTCATTCTGGCAGTTGTTTGGAGCAAAGAGACAAGAAGATGAATTAGAAAATTGATGTTCAGGGGCGCTTAGGAGGCTGAGTGGGTTAAGCATCTGCCTTTGGCTCAGGTCATGACCCCAGGGTCCTGGGATCGAGCTCCACATTGAGCTCCCTGCTCTGTGCGGAGTCGGCTTCTGCCCTTCCCCGCTGCTGTGCTCGCTCGCTCTCTCTCTCTCTCAAATAAATAAAATCTTTAAAAAAGGGAAAAAAAGACAATTGGTGTTTAGGCAAGAGATGCCAAAGGCTAAACATTGTTAAGGGAGCAGAGGAAAGGATGATTTTATACAGCTTTAATGTGAAAGAATTGACAGAATTTGATGATGTACTAGACAAAAAGATAAAGAGGGAGAAGACAGGAATTATTCCTTGATTTCTGTCTTAGCAAATGGGAGCATGGTGATCCTATTTACTGGAACGAATACACAGAAGGAAAAACAAACTGGAAGAATTGGAAAACAAACTTCCTGGTGTCAAATTTTACTGCACAGCTACAGTAATCAAAACAATGTGGTGCTGGCATAGAGACAGATATATAGACCAATACAGTGGAATAGAGAGCCCAGAGATTAAACTCTTGCATATATGTCAAATAATTTTTGACAAGGGTCGCCAAGAACATTCAATGGGTAAAGGAAATCTTTTCAACAAATGATGCCAGGAAAACTAGATATTCACATGCAAAAGAATGAAGTGGGACCCCGACCTAACACCACATACAAAAATTAGCTCAGAATGGATCATCCAAATGTAGGACCCAGAAAAAAAGAAAACATAGAGAGTAAGCTTCAAATTGGATTTAGCAATGATTTCTTGGATATGACATCAAAGGCATAGACAGCAAAAGAAAAAATGGACAAACTGGACTTCCTCAAAATTAAGAACTTTTGAGGATGTGAAGAAAAAAGAACCCTCGTGCACTGTTAGTGGGATGCAAACTGGTGCAGCCACTGTGGAAAACAGTATGGAGGGCCCTCAAAAAATTAAAAATAGAACTAACCAGGATCCAATAATGCCACTACTGGGTGCTTACCCAAAGAAGAGATACATGCACCCCTATGCTTACTGCAGCATTATTTTCAATAGCCAAGATACGGAATCAAGGGTCCATGGAGAGATTAATGGATAGAGAAGATGTGATACACACACACAAAAATGGAATATCACTCAGCCATAAAAAAGAATGACATCGTGCCACTGCAACAACATGGATGGAACTAGAGGGTATAACGCTAAGTGAAGTAAGTCAGCCAGAGAAAGACAAATACCATATGAGGAATTTAAGAAACAAAACAAATTATAAATAGAGACAAACAAAAAACCAGATTCCTAAATATAGAGAACGAATTGGTGGTTGCCAGAGGGGAGCTGGGTGGGAGACGGGCAAAATAAATGAAGGAGATTAAAGGGACATGTATCACAATGAGCACTGAGTAATATATAGAATTGTTAAATCACTCTATTGTACACTTGAAACTAATATAACATTGTATATTAATTATACTGGAGTTAAAAACAAAGAAAGATGGAATGTTAAAAAAATTAACTTTTGTACATCAAAGGACACTTAATGACAGAGCAAAAAAGGCACCTCATGGAATGAAAATATTTGCACATTGCAAATCTCATAAAGCATTAATATCCAGAATATATACAGAACTCCTAATACCCAACAACAAAGAAATAAATAACTCAATTCAAAAGTGGGCAAAGGACTTGAATCACCGTTTCCCCAAAGAGGACACGCAAGTTGTCAAAAGCATATGAAAAGATGCTCAACATCACTAATCATTAGAGAAATGGAAGCCAAAACCACAATGAGATTCCATCTCACATCCATTAGGGAGGGCCATTACCAACACAGAAAACAGCAGGTCTTGGGGAGGATGTGGAGAAAATGGAACCTTTGTGCACTGTCAGTGAGAATGTAATACGGTGCCGCCACTGTGGAAAATAGTGTTACAGTTCTTCAAAAAAATACAAAGAGAATTAACATATGATCCAACAATTCCAACTCTTGGTAAATGCCCCCAAAGAACTGCGAGCAGGGACTCAAAGAAATATTTATACACCCATGTTCATAGCAGTCTTATTCAGAATAGCCCAAAGATGAAAGCAACCCAAGTGTCCATCCACAGATAAATGGCTAAACAAAATGTGGTGCGTACATACAATGAAATATGCCAAAGGGAAGAAATTCTGACACAATGCTACACTATGAGTGAACTTTAAGGACATGTGGCTAAGTGAAATAAGACAAATAATATGTGATTCTACTCATATGAGGTACCAGGAGTGGTCAAATTCATAGAAACAGAAAGTAGCAGAGTAGTTGCCAGGGTTTGGGGAAGGCAGGAAGGAGAAAGTTTCTGTTTGATGGGGACAGTCTTTCAGTTTGGCAAGATGAAAAGAGTTCTGGAGACTGGATGCATAACAACGTAAGTGAACTTAATACTAATAAACTGTGCACTTAAAAATTATTTACGTGGTAAGTTTTGTTATATGTATTTTCCCACCATCAAAAAATAAATATTCAACATACACCACTACTAAATGTTCTGGAATTAAATGGTGGTAATGGTTTGTACCACCTTGTGAATACACTAAAGATCACTGAATTGTATGCTTTATTTATTTTTTTTTATTTTTTTCACCATCTTAACTATTTTTATTTTTAAGAATTTCTTATTTGAGTATAGTTGACACATAATGTTGTATTTGTTTCAGGTGTACAGCTTAGTAATTTGACAAGTTTATAAGATGCCATGTTCGCCACCAATGTAACCATCATCTGTGCCATTACATCACTGTTACTGGGGCACCTGAGTGGCTCAGTGGTTGAGCATCTGTCTTTGGCTCCAGTTGTGATCCCGGAGTCCTGGGATCGAGTCCTGAATCCCACATGGGGCTCTGCAGGGAGCCTGCTTCTCCCTCTGCCTATGTCTCTGCTTCTGTCTCTCATGAATAAATAAAATCTTTAAAAATATATATATCACTATTACCATATCACTATGTTCCTTATGCTATAAACGATATACTTTAAATGGTTGCTTAATATGGTATGTGAATTATCTCTCTGTAAAGCTGTTTAAAAAAGAAAAATAAATAGTTCACTACTCATCTGAATAGGACGGTAACACTAACAGATTTGGAACCCCTTAGGGGAAGTAATTGCAATTCAAAAATGCAAGTCCCAATATAAATGTTTTCAAAACCCCTTCGTCTCCTTAACCATCCCAAAGCCCAAGCACGTGTTCTGCTAAGCTATATGAGAAAAGAGATATCAATGACATTACAGAAAAGTTCCCTATACTATAAACTAGGATTCTTATCCTAACCTCTCACTTCACTACCTGTGTTATGGCTTGAATGTCTGGGTCACCTAAAGTTCACATCTTGAAGCCCTAGCCCCACAGATGGTGGTACTTGAGATTAGGGCCTTTGGAAAGTAATTAGGTTTAGATGAGGTCATGAAGGTGGGGACTCCCTGATGGGGTTAGTGTTCCCATAAGATGAAGAAGACGGCCCAGGGCTAGATTGCATGCTTTCTACCAGGTGAGGACACAGCAAGAAGGCAGCTGTCTGAAAGCCAAGAGGAGGGCCCTTACCAAGGAACCAGGTCAGCTGGGACCTTAATCTTGGACTTCCCAATTTCCAAAGCTGTGAGAAATGCATTTCTGTGATTGAGACCACCCAGCCTATGGCATTGTATCATGGCAGCCCCATGTGTACTAATGTTCCTCTTAGGCCAAAGTCTCAATCTGGGACAGCAACTCTGTGAGCAGGCTCTAAACTGCAGTCACATTGTACTGCTACTGCTATGTCTGTGGCGAGAAATGCCAAGGCAGGCTCTCCAGGTAATCTTCTAGCAAGGAGGCCTGTCTACATCATAAACACCTTTTAAACAAGTTCAGGGAAATATAGTCTGGGCTTTAGCCTGCCAATTCTTAATTCCTACATTATTGTCACAAAATGCTACTGAATCTCTTTGCCACTTGTACATACTCTTAAAAGTAATCACTGCTGGGGCACCTGGGTGGCTCAGTCGGTTGAGCAACTGCCTTCATTCAGCTCAGGTCATGATCACGGGTTCTGGAACTGAGCCCCACGTCAGGCTCCCTGCTCAGGGGGGAGCCTGCTTCTCCCTCTCCCTCCCCTGCTGGTGTTTGTGCTCTTTCTGTCAAATAAATAAAATCGTAAGAGAAAAAAAGTAATCGCTGGTTTAATATCAAGCATGATAGAGGTACATTAGATTTGTGTACTACTCAGAATTTAATAGAGTATGTCTCAGTTTTAAATATGTGAGGCAGGCGCCTGGCTGGCTCAGTCAGTTAAGTATCTGACTCTTAATCTCAGCTTGGTCGGGTCTTGATCTTAGGGTTGTGAGGTCAAGCCCTGTGCTGGGCTCCTCACCCAGTGTGGAGCCCACGCTAAAAAAAATAAACATAAATAAATAAATAAACAAGCAAGCAACTTTACACTAAAGATGGCTCGAATTCATCAGTCAAAAGATGTTTCTATTATTAGTAATATAATCTGGGGGCAGCCTGGGTGGCTCAGTGGTTTAGCATCGCCTTCAGCCCAGGGCCTGATCCTGGAGTTCCAGGATCGAGTCCCACGTCGGGCTCCCTGCATGGAGCCTGCTTCTCCCTCTGCCTGTGTCTCTGCCTGTCTCTCTCTCTCTCATGAATAAATAAAATAAAATAAAAAGTTAAAAAAAGTAATATAATCTGTTTCTAGTTTCCATTACCAATCCATATGAATTTATCTCATACTCTGAGTTCTCCTGGGGCAACCATCACAACGGTCCTTCCAGATCTTCCACCCCTGACTCACTGATTCAGCTCTTGCCATTCTGCCTGTCCAGCTCACTATATCTATTCATTATGCAATGAATATATGGTCCTATGTCTCATGAAAGAACCACTGGGATAATGTAGGCTTTCAAAGGATCAGGAGAGGTGGGTGTGGCTGAGCAAGTCACAGAAGCAGAAAATAGGGCAGTGCTGACGTTCATCTGCCTCCCCTTCCTGCTTCTGAGAGAGTGAGGGGAGGCAGCATGCTGGCAGGAGCGACATCTAGACGTTCCTCTTCAACTCAGATGTCAGCAGGGCAATAGGATGAGGGCGTTTGTGAAGCTTAAGAGGAAGAACCAACGCTAGGTCAGTCCAAGCACAGATCCAACCAGGTTCCATGGGAAGTTCAGACCATCAACCTCCTTAAAGGTCTCACCTGCCCAACATTTAGAAAGGCTATGGTGTGTGACACATTTTAGTGGTTAGCCCATGCAGTGTCCGTCTCAAATACCAGGGAAACACATGTTCAAACATTTACAATTCACACGAAGAAGGAAATAGAGAATTCATGACTTCTTAAAGAAGAATACCTTATTCCATTCACTTGTGATTCGTAATATAATGCAGTAATCTTTCCCTTTTCTCAAAGGTGCGTTATAGTACTTCCCATAGTACAGCCTGTCTCCAATAGGTATCTCCATGGCATCATCTGGAACATCTTTGGCCAGTAGTTCTGCAGCCACATATCCCTCAGCATCAGAAGTGTTGCTAAAGAATGAGGTGGCCCCTTCAGAATCACAAAAAAATGTACTTTGGAGGGCCAGGGGAAGCACCAACACTTGATATGAACTAGAAAAAAAGAAAAGAAAATGTCTATCAGACCCTTGCTTGGGAGATTCGTTCATTCAATTATTCATATTTACTGAGCACCTGCTATAAGATAAACACTTTTCTGGACACTGGAGATATATAACACTGGACAAGAAAAAGTCCTGCCCGCCCCCCCAGGGGATTTACAGTCTGACAGCTCCAACAGCTTCTGGAACTCCAGTTTGGACCTACGGCGCTAATGCCCCATGACACGACGTGAGGGATCTCAACTTCCAGCTGCTGCGGATGCCAAGCAAATCCTCTTTAGCTGGGAGAAGTTGTTACACGTATGGCTGCCCTGGGTGTCCATGGCCTAAAGCCGAACTCATCACTGGTTTTCACGTGGGCGAATAAAGCCCAGCTGGGGAAAGGGTTTAGCAGTCACATGGAGGCTGCTGCTGAGAAGCATTAATGTCCTAAGTCTGAAAAAAAAAAAAAAAGGCTCCAATCACATGGTAACCTGAAACAGAACTCATGTGATCCCCCTCCAGTTCACACATCAAAGTTCATGTGAAATAAATGAGAAGCAAGGAGTGCCAAGTCCCCATGCATTAATCCAGTCTGACGATATCCTAAAATAGCCAGGGGGGTAAAATGTCATGGGGATGAGGTGAAACTCTTGCCTAAATGTGGACGGAGAAGCACACCAGCCATCAAGTAGCCCTTTGTGCACATGCTGGGTTATTGTTTATCCTGCCAAATACAAAGCCTGGCAGTGAAAGGAGCTGTAAGAGCAAAAAACAAAAAACAAACAAACAAACAAAAACAACAACCCCCCCCCCTCAGAGGATGAACCATGTCTTCTTTTTCAACCCCTCCCTTCCATCCTTTCCCTCCTGCCTCTGGAACAGCACGTGTCTGAACATCTGCTTTCTCTATCAGGCTTGATAGCAGGGATTTAAGTGACTTACTCTTGTATCCTTGCAAATCCTTACCCAGTTCTCTGGCTGTGACGGCCTCCCCACTAATGTTTCTTGAGTTGACATTTCAGTGAAGAGGGAAAAACATGCATCAGTATCAAATATGATTAGGGTAATTTCCAAACCAGGAGGCCACATAATCTATTTTACTAGTAAATATACCCTTCCTGTTCCAGGTTCCGAATGCCCCATCTCCTGCTTATTTTTTTTTTTTTTGAGATTTTATTTATTTATCCACAAGAGGCAGAGAGAGAGAGAGAGGCAGAGGGAGAAGCAGGCTCCATACAGAAGTCTGATGTGGGACTTGATCCCAGGTCTCCAGGATCACACCCCAGGCCAAAGGCAGCACTAAACCACTGAGCCACTCGGGGTGCCCCCATCTCCTGCTTCCTAAAAGTCCACGAGTCACTAGGTGCAGAAAAGGGAGCCCCCCCCCCCCACAGTAGGTATAGGACTTGGAAAGTCTCCATCCCAAACATCCTGTGTGTCCCCAGGGCCCTGGTTTCCACAAAGTCTGGGCTCACTTTTGAGCAAAGAGCTTTCTACAAAAGGTACAAGGTAAAGCCTGCAGGTGGTGAGCTGCTGCTGCTGCCACCAGGAGACGTTTACTAAGTGTCCACTGCCTACAAGGGAACACCTGTGACAACACGCTTTCCTGGCGACTTGAGGACATCTCCGTGAATCATGGCTGCAGGGAAGAGAGTAAATGCTGTCCACGAGCTCCTCTTCAAAGCCATCTTGCCTTTCCACGTAGACGGTGGTGTTTCCGTGCAAGATCAAGGCCCAGCTTTGGTTCTGGACATTTAGGGGCACCATTCTTGGGGCATAAAGCAGTCTCCTCCAGTTAGCGTGATCATAATCACCTGAGTTGCTTGATAATTATACAGACTTCCAGCCCCCATCGCAGACCTACTGAACCAAAATCTCCAGGAGCTGAGTTGAAGAATTTGTACCACTGATGAGGCACTCTGGATGATTTCTAGAAGTTGGCAAGTGTGGGAGACACTAGCATTAAGACAGCCCAGGATCAGGCTGCATCATTCACCCGAGATCACCAGGCTAAGGATGGGAGCTTTGGTCCCAGGGCCCCATCCCACCATGGGCCCCAAGCCACTGCCCCACCTCCCAACAATGTGCAACAAAGACTCAGGCCTGTCTTACACGGCAGCAAAGCTGCTCCCTCAGCTCAAACCAGGTAGTCAGGGAGAGGAAACCGCCCCGTGTGCCTGTTGGTAATTAACCCTGATGACGTTAGGGAAGCAGTTGTGGCTGTTTGGAACATGAGTGTTCTGGAAAGACTTCTCCCCTCTTTCTCACCGCCACCCTCCCTCGAATGACTCACAGATCTCCACTTCCTGTTTTGGAGGCACCAGAGGGCACATTAGCCACAAGGATAGATTGTCATTTGGCTTTTCTTTTTGCCTTACGTAATGATGTGGCCTACATATCACATTTGCTCTTGCAAATTCTCTCGGGCAGTGATATCATACCTTCTGTTCTCATAGCAACAGAATTACAGCACCATCCAGTAACTGGTCAGGAATCAAGAAGCAGAACAATGCAGGCAATGTCCATGCCTGGAAAGACCTTTGAGAACTTACTGCACTTAAACTAATGGGAAGACAGGAAAAGCCTAAGTTTCATTATAAAGGGACACATAGGGATGCTTGGGTGACTCGGATGGTTAAGTGTCTGACCCTGATCTTAGCTCAGGTCTTGATCTCACAGTCATAGGCTCAAGCCCCATGTTGGGCTCTATACAGGCATGGAGCCTACTTAAAAATTTTTTTAAAGGGGAGGGCAGGTGGGTGGGGACCCACAGATAATATAGCCAGACTTTCTTTTTTATAATTTTATAATATCTCACATTTATTTTCACCCTGAATGTACTGAAGGGTCATTAGACTGACAGGTCAAGAATGACGTAAGGCAATGAAGGTCAAGGAAGGCAAGGTTATTGTTGTGTCCTTGCTTTATTCCTGTGAGCAAGTTGCTTATCTCTCCAGGGAAACTTCCACGTTCCTTTCTAAAAAGGGGGGTAATTCTGCTTTCCTAATCCAAGCATGACCCTGTAAATAAAAATGCTTAAGGGAACACAGTGTAGTTCTTCAACTCAGGTGAATTAATTCCATCCTAACACTATCTGGAATCCCAGAAGCAGTCATTAACTACACAGTATCTTGCCCATAGCTCAATATGTGATCAAATTAAGAGAATTATCCAAATGGCCCTTTTGACCATCCTTAAAGAAAGACCATCCTTAAAGAAAGAATAGCCGCCCAAAGACCATCCTTAAAGAAAGAAAAAGATATTCTTCTGCCTTTGGTAAATGAAATGATGTTTCCAATCCACTATCACTGAGAGATGTACATGAAGATGTTAGTGCAAAGGATGATACTTGACAAGTCACATGCAATCAACGCTTGTCTGGTGACCAAAGGAATGGATTTAATTTATTGAGCTAAGCTGCCTAAGTGCTTGTCTTTACCCCTGAGAAGTCTCTCTATCATTTGGAAGGATGCTGGTTGGAATTAAAGGCCCAGTCTGAGGGCAGCCCAGGTGGCTCAGCGATTTAGCGCTGCCTTCAGCCCAGGGCATGATCTTGGAGACCCGGGATTGAGTCCCACGTCGGGCTCCCTGCATGGAGCCTGCTTCTCCCTTTGCCTCTCTCTCTCTCTACCCTCTGTGTCTCTCATGAATAAATAAATAAATAACATCTTAAAAAAAAAGGCGCAGCATCTAGGGAGAATTCCCCTCCTCAATCAAACCAAAGTTCCCAAAACTCTCCATGAGGACCACTGGACAGCCACAGAAAAGGGGCCACTACCCACCTGATAGGTCCATTCTTCTCCTTGGCCTTCCTCAGTCTCAGCCGTGGTAGAGGCCCTCCATGCACCGTGACAAAGTCTACTTCCGGAAGTGGAGGCTCTGAAAACAGGTTGAAAAGAGGAAAAGGGTGTGATTAGAAACAATGGAAGCACAATGAAAGTGGTCCTCATGGGGCCATCAAGAGGAAGTGGTCGTGTAAGACGCGATGAGCATTTTCTGACTCTGCTACCACATGGATGAATCTTGAAAACATTACGCTAAGTGAAATAAGCCAGACTTAGAAGGACAAACATTGTATGACCCCTCTGATATGCAATATCTAGAATAGACAAATTCATGGAAACCGAAGTAGGTTAGAGGTTTCTCAGGACTGAGGGGTGGGTAGGCAAGGGGGAGTTAGTTGCTTAATGATCAACAGAGTTTCTGTTTGGTGTGATGAAAAGTTTCCAGAAATAGACAGTGATGATGGTTTACAACATTGTGAATGGACTTCATGCCAATAAATTTGGTGCCAGGAAATGGTTAAAATGTACATTTTACGTTATATATTGGACCACAATAAACTTTTTGTAAGAACAGTAAGGGATGCCCCTATGCTGACAGAGGGTACACACAGCAAGCCTTACAGTTAACTTGCTGGACAGGTTCCTATTTGGTGGGGAAGACCAGCATATCAGACTTCTAGATCTTTTCCCATCGCAGACTGTTCTGTCCTCCTTTTGTTCTCCCCAGCACCCAGATCTCCCACATAGACTCTCCACTGGGAGGTGACTGGTTGACACCAAGTGTTCTAGTGCAACTTTTATGAATGCAACTGGTAGTTACATTCATGGTATGAATGCACAGGCTGCCATTCTGGTTGGTGGGTAGATGCACCAGGCACTAACCAAATGCACTAGCTGTGTCCTGCATGGGCCTCATCTCATATAATCTTTTCAATGTTGCTATCAAGTGAATGAGATCTACAGAGGGAGAAAGGAAGAGAAAAAGACAATATAATATGAATGCCCTCCCCTCGGGTATTATATAAGACTGATAAATCACTGAGTTCTACCTCTGAAACTAATAATATACTATATGTTCATTGAATTTAAATTAATTATAAATAAATAAATAAATAAATAAATAAATAAATAAATAAATAAGAATGCCCCCCGACCCAACCCTAGCCTTGAAATCTGCTACAGTAAAATTAAGGACTAGGAGACCAAAAGAAACACTCAGTACTTTAGCTTGTGGGGGGCACCTAGGTGGCTTAGTTGGTTAAGCATCTGCCTTTGGCTCAGGACATGATCCCATAAGTCCTGGGATGGAGCTCCACACTTCAGGCTCCCTGCTCAGTGGGGAGCCTACTTCTCCCTCTCCCTCTGCCCCTCCCCCTGCTTGTGCTCTTCCTTCTCTCTCTCTCTCTCAAATAAATAAAAATGTTTTTTAAATTTTTGAAAAATAAGAAAATAGACTTGGGGTAGAAATTCCCAATCCAAATTATAATAAATAAAAACCTATACCTTCCTAGATAGTTTTTTTGGGGGGGTTTGGTGGGAGGAGGGACAGAGGGAGAAGGAAAGAGAAAATCTTAAGCAGGCTCCAGGCCCAGTACAGAGCCTGACACAGGGCTCAATCTCACGACATGAGCTGAAATCAAAAGTCAGACACTTAACCGACTAAGCCACCCCTAATGGTCTAGTTTGTTTGTTTGTTTATTTATTTATTTATTTATTTGCCTAGATAGGTTTTTTTTTTTTTTTTTTTTTTGCCTAGATAGTTTTTAAAGCACTATCGAATATGATGCTTGTCAGAGGGAAGGGCGGTAGGCAAAACAAGAGAAAGGGATTAAGAGCTAAATCTCGTTACAAAATAAATAAGACATGGAGCTATAACGCACAGCATAGAGAATACAGTCAATAGTATTTTAACAACTCTGCATGGTGACAGATGGTAACTGGACTTATCGTGTGCCCATTTCATAATGTATATAAATATCAAATTATCATGTCATATACTTAAAACTAATACAATTTGTATGTCAATTATTCTTCAATGAAAAAGCTCTATCGAATATGTTAATCATACATCACCAAGCAACAACATTTATTAGCCACCTTTATACACCATGTACCATGGCAGGCTGGGAGAAGCAGCCACGGAAGGCACAGTTTCTGCTTTCCAGGAGTTCAAAGTCTCATAGTGGAGACGGTTTTATAAACACGTGGCGCTTAGAGCTATGATCAAGTTAAACACAGGGTGTCGTGGGAGCGCAGAGGAAGAACACCTGACCAAGGGCAGGGGCTGGTGAGACCATTGAATGCAGAGATACACGTATACAGGGCCAGGAGGTGGAGGGCCAGCAGAGACAGAACTGCGGCCATACCTGGCTGAAAGGTGGAGTCCCAGCCTGGGAGAGGCACGCACCAAACTGGGAAGTGTGGGTACAGGTCGGATCGGAGGTCCTGGAAATAAGTCAGTTACAGATTCTCAGCTGACGTGTATTGTAGAAATACAATTCAGACAGCTGGTTGGAGGACCGACTAAGAACAAGAGGACAGGTTGCCCAAAGTCTAGGTACCTGAGGTCTGAAGCAAGTGATGGCATTAAGAATGGAGCAGAGGTCGCCAGATGGGAGAGACACGTGGGGGGAGAGAGAACAGGATGTGGTGGCAGACAAGGAAGGGGGAAGAATCTGGGCTTTGGTGTTGGTGGCTCAGTTGTGACATCATTCATCAAGGTTTGGGGGAGAAGTTCAGAAGCAGCTCACTTCTAGGCCTGATTATGTTTCGACGTGCTTGTGGAATTATCCAGCAGGCAGCAGGAGACGGGTCCACGCAGGAGCCAACTGGCGGTGACATGGAGTCAGTCCCCAGCAAGAGAGGCACCGCTGCCCAGGGGGACTGCACAAATGCCCCCAAGCTGAGCGGAGGGCTTGGGGCCCTGACCACTGGAAGCCCAGGCATCTAATACCGGATGGAAGAGAGACAACTCCCAGTAGCTTTCTCAAATGGTACCAAGTCTAGAATTTCTTCCAAAGTCAGCCAGATAGGGTCACATAAATTCTGGCCTCCATAGGCCTGTGGGGTTGCCAGGGACCCCCAGAGGTGGCCTGGAATGGCCCTGCTTGCAGTCCACATCTTACAAGAGGTGCTGGAGGTCTAGGCTGTTCCCAAGAGGTGTGGGTTCCCAAGAGGAAGCCCCTGGGTTCCTGCAGCAGTGAGGGGGACAGGGCGGTGAGGTTTGAAAAGCCCCTACCAGGTCCCCCAGGGGGACAGGCCCCTTCTAGTTGGAGAATTTCTGCCCCCAGCCCTCCGTGCTAACACTGAAATGCCTTCTCACTTGTGATGTTTTGCTGTCGCAGTAAAGTGAGTGGTTTTTATCACACGCTTCCTGTTTTCAGCCCAGAGGGAGATTCACTGTTCACTGTGTGTGTGAGAACCCCTCCTCGGGCTCTTTTTAATTTTTTCCTTTCTTTGCTCTTCTCCGAGATTAATAATTCTAGTTCCTCTAATCTCTTGGCTAACCTTTTAAAACCACCCCGCTTCTCATTGCCCTTGGTATAAGCAGAACGAAGTGCTCGCTCAGCGTGCAGAAGGCAGGCCCATGGGGGGGGGGGGGCAGGAAGGCCACCCCGGCCTGTGACTAGTGTCATGCCTGCCGTCCTAAATGTGCCACTGCCATCCAGCCGATGCCATCAACATGTGACTTCCAGGCTGCTTTCTGCTTTCGGACCTCCCCCCCACCTTATATTTTAAACAGGGCACCTTTTTCTCTCTCATGTAAAAGCCTGAACTTCAGCAGGCTGGTTCTTAAACACATTTCAAGGTTAAATAACTTTAACTTCCAGCCATCTCTTTCCAAGGTTGTGTTCCTCATTCCCCAAAATGGTATCCCGGGCGGATGCGCTCTCCTTTCCATTAGCCTCATTACTGATTTAAGCCAGATCAGACCCAAGGCCAGAAATGAGTTGTGTCTGAGCTGGACAGTGAAGCTCTTCAACCCTGGATATTCGAAGTTGGGGAAGATGCAGAAGGGAGACTCTCATTACCATTCCTCTACTAGAAGCAAATGACAAAGGAATATATAGGGGCTGCCAAGTGTGAAAACCCTGCAGAGTAAGGAGAAAAGCACTGAAGAAGAACATGCCCTACAAAATATTATAATATAGTATGAAGTTAAAAAAATATATAGTATAAAGTTACAATAATTGAAACGGTAAGGTGCGAGCACAGGACAGGCAAAGCAATGGAAAAAGCTAGAGGGCCTAGAAAGAGACCCAAACAAACAAATGAGAAGATAGTATATGACATGGACAGTCGTTCCAAATGTGGCGGGAAACTGGCTTATCATGTAGGGGGAAAAAATTACCATGTAAATTTATACCATACATCAAGATGAATTCCAAATGGGTCTAAATTTAAAGGTGAAAAGCAAAATTATGAGGAAGCATTAGAGGGGCACATGGCTAACTCAGTCAGTAGAGTGTGTGACTCTTGATTTGGGGGACCTGAGTTCAAGCCCCACATTGGGCACAGAGCTAACATTAAAAAGAAGAAGAAGCGCTCCCTGGGTGGCGCAGCGGTTTGGCGCCTGCCTTTGGCCCAGGGCGAGATCCTGGAGACCCGGGATCGAATCCCACGTTGGGCTCCCAGTGCATGGAGCCTGCTTCTCCCTCTGCCTGTGTCTCTGCCTCTCTCTCTCTCTCTCTCTGTGTGACTATCATAAATAAATAAATAAATAAATAAATAAATAAATAAATAGAAGAAGCAGCAGCAGCAGCAGCATTAGAAAATATGAAAGAATAAGAATTGATCTAATTTCAGGGTGGGGAAGGCTTTTCTTAGCATGACCAGAGGCAGAAACTATAAAACAATCAATAGAATTGATTACATGAAAATTTAAAATGTCTAAATGTAAGAAGAATATCGGCAAGAAAACTAAACAGTAAATAGCCTGGGGGGATTATAATAGGTACAGCCAAAGATTAATATCATTAGTGTAGGCAAACTATTAAAATCAATAAGAGAAAGGAGGCAATACAAATGAAAACATGTTAAAATCCCCTAAAACGTACCAAAATGAACAAAAGAGAACCCAAAGTAGAAAATTGT